CACACCGCTGTCAGACACAGCCAGAGGGGAGAAACCAGTACCACTTTAAGAGAGATTTTAAGGAATTGGGGATTGGGGAGAGAATGGAAGAATAAGGAGGAATGAGAAAAAAATATGTTTTGCAACCACCAACAGCAAAATAGAAAAATAAAATGGTAAAGAGGAGTGAGTGGGCAATTGGCGACCCACTCACTTGTTTCATCCCCAGGGCAAAGCATCCAAACTCCTTCGTTCCTTGGTGTGGGGAGCGGATCTCCAGAGCTCAAACACAATACCCTAGCGTTAACTGACTGCGCTGGCGGAGGTAGCAGGCGTTGCCACACCGCTGTCAGACACAGCCAGAGGGGAGAAACCAGTACCACTTTAAGAGAGATTTTAAGGAATTGGGGATTGGGGAGAGAATGGAAGAATAAGGAGGAATGAGAAAAAAATATGTTTTGCAACCACCAACAGCAAAATAGAAAGAAATAAATGGTAAAGAGAAATTATGAGTGGAGCAATTGGCGACCCACTTTCACTTGTTTCATCAGAGACAAGCATCCATAAATCCTTTAGTCCTTGGCGTGAGGCAGGACCTCCAGGGTTTAAACACAATACTCTAGATTGCTTAGCTATACTGTGGCGGAGGTAGCGGCGTTAATCACACTGCTGTCAGACACAGCCAGAGGGAGAAACCAGTACCTTGCAGACCAGATTTTAAGTTTCAGGTTGGGGAAGAATGGAAGAATAAGGAGGAATGAGAAAAAAAGATGTTTTGCATACTAGCTTAGCAAAATAGAAAATAAAATAGTAAAAGAGAAGTGAGTGGGCAATTGGCCCACTCATGTTTCAGGCAAAGCATCCAAACTCCTTCAGTCCTTGGCGTGGGGAGCGGACCTCCAGAGTTCAAACACAATACTCTAGCGTTAACTGACTGCGCTGGCGGAGGTAGCAGGCGTTGTCACACTGCTGTCAGACACAGCCAGAGGGGAGAAACCAGTACCACTTTAAGACAGATTTTAAGGATTTGGGGATTGGGGAGAGAATGGAAGAATAAGGAGGAATGAGAAAATAAGATGTTTTGCAACCACCAACAGCAAAATAGAAAGAAATAAAATGGTAAAGAGAAGTGAGTGGGCAATTGGCGACCCACTCACTTGTTTCATCCCCAGGGCAAAGCATCCAAACTCCTTCAGTCCTTGGCGTGGGGAGCGGACCTCCAGAGCTCAAACACAATACCCTAGCGTTAACTGACTGCGCTGGCGGAGGTAGCAGGCGTTGCCACACCGCTGTCAGACACAGCCAGAGGGGAGAAACCAGTACCACTTTAAGGGAGATTTTAAGGTATTTGGGGATTGGGGAGAGAATGGAAGAATAAGGAGGAATGAGAAAAAAAAGATGTTTTGCCACCACCAATAGCAAAATAGAAAGAAATAAAATGGTAAAGAGGAGTGAGTGGGCAATTGGCGACCCACTCACTTGTTTCATCCCCAGGGCAAAGCATCCAAACTCCTTCGGTCCTTGGCGTGGGAGCGGACCTCCAGAGCTCAAACACAATACCCTAGCGTTAACTGACTGCGCTGGCGGAGGTAGCAGGCGTTGCCACACCGCTGTCAGACACAGCCAGAGGGGAGAAACCAGTACCACTTTAAGGGAGATTTTAAGGATTTGGGGATTGGGGAGAGAATGGAAGAATAAGGAGGAATGAGAAATAAAATAAATATTTTGTCGCCACCAACTTTATATAATTAGAAAGAAAGTTGAGAAACCCTAAGCTCAATTACAGTCAAAGTGTAGAGCAGGGTACCCCAATTTAGGCAGATTGAATTTAAGAAAGGCAATCTGCTCCATGAGATGAGGTGACATTTGTGAGCGCTGTGGATTCAGTATATTACCGGTTACCGAAAACACACGCTCACTTGGGACAGTGGTTGGCGGACATGATAGCAGCTCCTGCGCAACCAATGAGAGTGCAGGCCACACACTCTTCTTCTCATCCCAATAGCTAAGAGGGTCGACATTATGGGGCAAAGGAGGTTCAGAGAGGTACGCTCTGACCATTTCTGAGGCAGTACTCTCCTGTCTGCTGCTAGCACTCTCAGTGGGTCCAACTATATCCTCAAGCAACTCTTCCCAAAATGCAGCTGCTCCACTCAGATGTGTGGTGGTGGTGGTAGTGCCACTGCTTCTGCTAGAAGTAGCCGACATCTCAGCCTCCTGCTGAACTACTCCCTCAGACAGCATTCCCCTCTTTTGCTGCCAGTCACACACCCTCTGGATCAATTTCTCCCTCCAATTTGTTAAGTTATTGGATCTGAGTGCAAGCTTTCCCTTAATCCTTGGATCACACAGGCAAGCTAGCATCAGTTCAGGAGAATTATCCATTCGCTCATGTAGGCGAACTTTAAGCTGATCCTTCAGCCTCCTGACCAGAGTTATTACATCAGGATGTAAAGGATCACCTTGAACAACCTCTTGGCGTTCAAGGAAGACACCCATCTTGCTCCCTAGATGGGTGAAAACAGGGATTACCTGTCCCAGATTGGCAGTGTTCAAGCTTAAATTTTCAGTGGCATCCCTGAATGGTTTCAGGATTGCCACTAGCTGAGCGATCACTGTCCAATCATCTCTACCTAGTGGAGAACCAATACCGATGTATTGGTCTGATGCCAGACTGCTGCTCTAAAATGCTCTCCAGCATCTCCAGAGTAGAGTTCCACCGTGTACTGACATCTTGTCGTAGACAGTGTATGGGAAGACCTGCCTTCTCTTGTTCCTGCCTCAACAGTTGGCTAGCCTTCACACTGCGGTGGAAGTGCCCAGCAATCCTCCTGCACCGTTCAATCACACTGGAAACTCTGTTATTACCTTCTGGGATTGCTGACTTTACTACTAGATGGATAATGTGCGCTGCACAGCGCACACCAACAAGGTTACCATCACGCAAAGCTTTCACCATATTTGTAGCTCCATCAGTAACCACAAACCCCACTTCTACATTGGTGCCTGCCTCCGCTCCAACCCAAAGAGACACCATCCTCCTTACTGCCTGTAGAATGTTATCTGAAGTGTGTTTTTCATCCATCACTTCAGCATGGAGAAGGAAAGAGCGATAGCCCAGCTGATCTACAGATACACTTCCTCCCTTTCTGCTAGACACTGCTGCTGAAGTTGCAGCAGCAGCTTCCTGAGACACACCAGACTCCCACCAGTGTGCTGTAAGGGAAAGAAAGGCATGCTGGCCACTTGGTGCACTCCACAAATCTGTGGTAAAATGCACAGACTGACCAGCAGCCTTCGAAAGCTCCCCTTTCACTACTCCAACACAGGACCGGTAAAGTGAAGGGATTATCCTCCTGCTGAAAGTGGAGCATGAGGGAAGATGGTATTGTGGAGCCACAGCCTACATCAACTGTTTGAAAGGCTCCCCTTCTATCATAGAAAAGGAAGCACCCCCAACAGCAATTAACTGGCCACTAAGTTGCGTAATTTTATTGGCCTGCTGTTTAGACATAGCCCTGGAGTGGAATCCCCCAAATTGTTCCAGGGTGGGCTGGATGCATTGTGATGCTCCAACCAGTCTTGGTTGTTGGCTGGCAGCACCAGTAGCTCTTGGCTCTGCAACACCTCCCCTGTCACTTCGAGCTGCCATGGTACTGGACACTGTAATAGTAGCTATGCTGCCTGTCCTAGTACTTTCTGCCTCTTCCCTCAATAACACAGCCTTGTGATGACTGCGAAGGTGATGGTTCATCCCTGCGCTGGTGAGATGACCCAACACTCTCCCCCTGCTAACTTCCTTCCCATAAAGTTTGCACTTTGCAAAGCGCCCATCTCCAACACTTTCAAAGTGATCCCAAACTTTGCTGCGGCGCAAAACATTGGCGCTTGCCCTTCGGGATTCTGCTGCTAGTGGTGCAGGTTGATGAGCAGCAGGAGGAGTGTGACTACTGGTAGCTGGCACAGTAGCCTCAGCACTGGTACTGTGGCTAGTAGTACCAGTGGTGGTGATGATTGTTGGCACAGTTACTCTGGTGGTGGTAACTGTGCCACTGCGAGGAGGAACAGTGGATCTGGAAATAGTAGTGGTAATAATTGATTGTGGTGGTGGTGGTGGTCTGCTAATGGTTGAAGTAGCACTAGCAGGTGCTACTATTGGAGAAAGTGGAGAGGAAGGGGAAAAATTTGCACTTGTAGCAGGAGAAAAGGTTGGACTGCTCCCTGAAGAATTCTGGCTTTCCTCTACTATCTCCTCCTCACTCTCAGGCTCATAGTCAAGCTCTTCATCAGCCAGACTAAATGCAATCCCTGCAAGGCTGGGGGTTCGACTGATATCACCTCCAGGAATAATAGGACTAGGAGCACTGGGTAGCATTGGCAATGGCAACAACTCCTGTGCTGATGTGCCGCTGTCAGTGGTAGAAGCATGTGCAGCACTGGTGGTGGAAGTGGTGGTCTTGGGAGGGGGATTAGGAAACAGCCTCCTTGTACAAGAAGGAAGCTTCTTAGCAGCACGACTCACAGGCCTGCTTGTGGTAGAGGAAGATGCTGGGGGCAAAACACGCTTCCTCTTACTTATTGGGATACTCCTACTACTAGTTGTGTTTTTAGTAATAGTACTAGCCATAGTGATCACCCTTAAAAGCCCTGCTGGTTTCCCTTTGCCATAGAAAAGACTTGCAATTCTGGGCCTTGCTGCACTACTGCCTGCTATTGGTGCCTTTCCTTGACCAGGATCTTGCACCAACGGGCCTGAAATGCGAGACAAAGACTTTGGCCTCCTAGGCGGTGAGTCTGACATACGGCACTCCTTGACCGCTTAGGCTGACGCATAGGCTGCGTACTCAAACTACCACTACTTGTGGTGGTGGTGGTGGTATTGGTGGTGGTGATGGTTGCTGACTGACCCTCCCTCACTTTACTAGTGGATGAAGGTTTAGGAGGATCCATTTAGAATTTTAAAATAGTAAGAAAAGAAAAGAAGTTGAAGAAAAGAAAAGAAAGATAATGTAATGTATGTAGTGTTTTCAAACTAACGTTTATATTTTTATTAAAAAGGATTATTTGATGTTTGGAACACAGTTAAAAAAAAATAGAGACTACTACTGAGGCAGATTTCTTCTCTCTAGTGCTTTTTGAGAAACTATGGAAAACTGCACTGTCTGGCGTGAGCAATCTGCCAACAAGTGCTCCCTGCTCGACTACTGCAGTGTAAGCAGCAGAGTATGAAAAAATGTACTAATATAGAAAAATAAAATAATAAAAGATTTCCTACAGCTACCTTGAAGCTTAGGTTAGGACAGTCTCACAGTCAATCTATCAGGAACTAAAATAAACCAAATAAAAACAGCAACCAGTTAGCTTCACTGATTGCTGTTAAACAAACACACTAACTGAACTAATAAGAATCAGTTAATGAAAAAAGAAATTTCTTCACAACAGCAGTCAGAACAGTTAACTTCACTGCTGATGCTGATGTGAGCACAGAAAAATGACACTAAAAGTGTTAAAAAATTTAAAACAAAAAATAGACTGTTTGACTGACTAATGTGTTCTGTCCTAACTAAGCACAAAGAGACTGTACTACAACAAATTTATTTTAAACTGAAGATAATTTTATCAACTTAAAAAAATATTTTAATTAAAACTGAAGATAATACTATTAACTGAATAAAAAATATTTCTTCACTTTTACACTGACTGCCTGCAAAGCCAGCAAACATTAGATTAAACTAACTCTATGTGGACTGGAGTATAGATAGATTCACTTAAAAAAAAGAATTTAAAACCCAAGCAAACACACTAAACTGAGACTGACAGAAGATGAACTTTCTCTATCAGCACTCAGAGAATGAAGCAGCACTGCAGAAACAGCAGCACCACTGTAAAATCAAGTTAACAAAAATCAACTAATCAACTTTGCTGCTAAAAGACTCAACAGCTAAACTAGATTAAGATTTCTTTTCTTCTAGGCTAGCAAGCTAACAAGCTAGTCTACCCCTAGGGCAGAAGTCCTCAGGCCCACTAAGCTAAAGACTGATTCTATCTTTACTTTAAATCTTAATTAATTTTAAGCTAAATTATTATTTTTTAAATAAAAAGATTTTTTTTTTTTTAAAGTAATACCTGGTTGCTGTAGTCAGTAAGCAAGCAGGGAAGGCAGGCACTGGCAGTGCCAGCCAGGCACCGTGTGGCACACTGACTCAGTCAGCAGCACAGCAGTGCACAGCTTTCAAAAAGCACTAAAATTAAAAAAATAATTCTCAGGAATAGTCTCTCAAATTGAACAAGTGAGAACTGGCAGACACACCAAAACTCACAGAAGATCTCTAAGACAAGTAATGAGGCTAACACAGCACAGAAGCACAGTGTGTCACCAACAAAACTCAGTCAAAGAAGGGGGGAGAAAGTTCCACTGCCTGCTTTTATACTGCTGTTTAGTTATTTTTTAAATCCCCGATAAAGCACTCACCATTGGATAAGCCCCTACAGCATCATGTCAAAGGAGTGAGCTGATTAGTTAAATGAAAATCAGCTCACTCCCATACCCCTCCTCTTTGATTCATACAAGGCATCCGAATGAACTAAAACACGAATTGAGGCAAATCAGTTCATTTTAGTTCATTAGTTCATTCGGTTTTCTAGTATTTCTACCATCTTCATGTAAAGCAATGCAATGCTTTGAAAAAGCACGAATGAACTAATACACGAATTGAGGCAAATCAGTTCATTTTAGTTCATTAGTTCATTCGGTTTTTCTACCATCCCCATGTAAAGCAATGCAATGCTTTGAAAAAGCACGAATGAACTAATACACGAATTGAGGCAAATCAGTTCATTTTAGTTCATTAGTTCATTCGGTTTTTCTACCATCCCCATCTGTAAAGCAATGCAAAGCTTTAAAAAGAGCGAATTGTTTGTGCGTTCGGTTCGCGAACGCTTCTCATTCGGTAGTTTGATTTATGAACATTACACTGACTGCCTGTAATTCAAAAAGCCGAACTAGTTATACGAATGAATGAAAGAATGATATAGACATTGCTATTCATTCGGTTATTAGTTCGGCTTTTTGAATTACACAGTGTGCTGTGTCAATTCGTACAGAGTGTAATTCAAAATGCCGAATGAACTAAAAAAAGGAAAGAATTTCGGTAAACGGCCATTCGTTTGTTCGTTCTTTAGTTTGGATACCCATTCTTTATTCGGTATTCGTAAGAATGGAAGAAAATGCATATTTTCGGACGAAAATCAATTCGGACGAATACGAATGCCCAAGTCTACTGGTTAACACTGGTGTAAAGTGTGACAACTGGTATGCAATTGGCTGCCATTCAGTTGCAATTTAGCATTTAGTGAATAGACACAGCTTACATCCATAGATGGATTTTTTTACCAGACACATGGTCCTCAGGTTCACCATTATCTGACAACTGAGGCTGTTGTTTGAAAGAGCAGATAAACAGCATTTAACTTTTAAGACAAGCTAATGCACTATCCAAGCTATCATGCTGAAAGAAAGAGAATCTTGTAGTGGATTTATTTAGAGCTCGGGAACAATGTTTGCCTTGGTACATCCTTTTTACCACTTTTTGTTTTACAAGGAAAAAAGCATGTTTTTTCTTACTACTTCCAATCCATTCTTTAAAGTACTTGATATTGCTATTCCTGAAGGGATCATACTTCAACAACATAAGCACCCACCCAGTAGCCTACTGTAGCGAACTCTGGGTAACCTGACTGGTTACCTTTGCTATTTTCCCTCTCAACCAGCTGGAACCTGTTGTGTGATTACGCCCAGTAACTAGACAAGACATAGTTCTGGGAGTCATTTGGTTTATTCAGGCCAAATACTCTCAATGTACACACAGACCTCCGGCATGGGGTTTCCATACAAGAATATAGCAAGCCACTCCCTGGCGTCCCTGTGTCTGGGAGATAATTGAGTCAGAAAACTGTAACGCAATTATCTCTCAGTTACAGGGAAACATATAGAATATTCATACAATCCACCAAACGTATCCCCAATATTAACAGGAACCTCCACAAGAGTCATATCCCCGGATAGCCCTGAACTGAGTTCCCAACTTCGCCACCAGGGTACAGTTCTGACCGGCCGGCCATGAGGTGAAAGCCAAAAACAGTTCCATGGAAATTCGGGGTTTCTGTGCAAACACCGTACAAGATATTCCCTTGTTTTCAGGGAGCAAATGCTCCCCCCAGTCGGTAATGCATAT